TTATTATTTTTATTATTATTATTGTTATCATTATTATTTTTATTATTATTATTATTATTATTATTATTGTTATCATTATTATTTTTATTATTATTATTGTTATCATTATTATTTTTATTATTATTATTATTATTATTATTATTGTTATCATTATTATTTTTATTATTATTATTATTATCATTATTATTATTATTATTATTATTATTATTATTATTATTGTTATCATTATTATTATTATTATTATTTTTATTATTATTATTATTATTATTATTATTGTTATCATTATTACTATCATTATTACTATTATTATTTACCACTATCATAATTATCATTATTTACGATTGTTACCATTTTCAGAAAAAGATTCAAATGTGCTTTATGGTACGAGGGAACCATCGGATGATCGAGACCATCTCCGCTGGAACAATTATCGTTAATATTTAATAATCATTATTTTTGTTTTAATTTTTAAGTTTGCTTGTTTTTTATTGTTTGCTTACGGTGATATCATGGACTTCTGTGGGTTATTATCTGTTGAAAGACATAAGAGGCATCACCAAATCTATGAGTTGTTCACTGGTTTAATATTTTGGTTGTGAAAAAAAACAATTGATAAAATTAGCAACATAGTTTATTTTCTTACTGATTTAAACTGTTTAAAAACCATAAACCGACATTATTTCACGTTCGAACTTCAATACATGATTCAAGATAAGATATTGGACTCTTTGTCTGATATAAATCGTCACAACCATTGTGTTATAAATTCATTTCATGATTATTTTGAAGCAAAAAATTCTAGAAGTTAATTTTAATAAGTTTTAATAAGAGCCTCATTGCAGACAGTAGCCTAATTTTGAACTTTTGATCCCCACGGACGTAACCCCGGAAAACCTCCAGATACGAGGTTTTTATCATATCAATCACTCCCCCTCCCATCTTTCGCCCCACCAATTACCATTCCCCCTTCCTGGACCAATACTTCCGGTGTTAAAAAGATCAGGCACCAACTCGACTTCTAGTTGACGGTTGTGAATTTCGCTCATGTACATCTGAGTTATTTGAATCAAGCGAGAGTTATCTTCCGCTGATAAGCCTCGAACTCTCAGTTCCAAATGTTCCAGCACTACGAAGAAGCAAAATACATGAAATTAATAAAGCTTTACGACAAGATTTATTTTTGCTAGAAAGTAGACTTAGAACATGAGCAACTGATTGTAGATAAGATTTTTGTCAGTTGTAGGTACTCTTTGGACTATAAGATCTATCGATTGGTCAAATTCTCAAAGATACCCCCAATCGTTAGCAATGTGGCAAATTTAGATGCTCTCGGATTATGCAGTCAATGGAAATACACGTTTTATATGTTCTAAGAATTATGTCAGTCGCTCGCAATCGTTGGAAATCTAGATGCTCTTAGATTATGTCAGTAGCTACCAGTCAATGGAAATCTAGATGCTCTTAGATTATGTCAGTAGCTACCAGTCAATGGAAATCTAGATGCTCTTAGACTATGTCAGTCGCTTGCAGTCGTTGGAAATCTAGATGCTCTTAGATTATGTCAGTAGCTACCAGTCAATGAAAATCTAGATGTTCTAAGAATTATGTCAGTCGCTCGCAATCGTTGGAAATCTAGATGCTCTTAGATTATGTCAGTAGCTACCAGTCAATGGAAATCTAGATGCTCTTAGATTATGTCAGTCGCTAGCAGTCAATGGAAATCTAGATGTTCTTAGATTATGTCAGTAGCAAGCAGTCAATGGAAATCTAGATGCTCTTAGACTATGTCAGTAGCTACCAGTCAATGGAAATCTAGATGCTCTTAGATTATGTCAGTCGCTCGCAATCGTTGGAAATCTAGATGTTCTTAGATTATGTCAGTCGCTAACAGTCAATGGAAATCTAGATGCTCTTAGATTATGTCAGTCGCTCGCAATCGTTGGAAATCTAGATGCTCTTAGATTATGTCAGTCGCTCGCAATCGTTGGAAATCTAGATGTTCTTAGATTATGTCAGTCGCTAGCAGTCAATGGAAATCTAGATGTTCTTAGATTATGTCAGTCGCTAGCAGTCAATGGAAATCTAGATGTTCTTAGACTATTTTAGTAGCTACCAGTCAATGAAAATCTAGATGCTCTTAGATTATGTCAGTCGCTCGCAATCGTTGGAAATCTAGATGTTCTTAGAATTATGTCAGTCGCTAGCAGTCGATGGAAATCTAGATGCTCTTAGATTATGCCAGTCGCTAGCAGTCGTTGGAAATCTATATGTTCTAAGAATTATGTCAGTCGCTAGCAGTCGTTGGAAATCTAGATGTTCTTAGAATTATGTCAGTAACAAGCAGTCGATGGAAATCTAGATGCTCTTAGATTATGCCAGTCGCTAGCAGTCGTTGGAAATCTATATGTTCTAAGAATTATGTCAGTAGCTACCAGTCAATGGAAATCTAGATGTTCTTAGAATTATGTCAGTCGCTAGCAGTCGATGGAAATCTAGATGCTCTTAGATTATGCCAGTCGCTAGCGGTCGTTGGAAATCTATATGTTCTAAGAATTATGTCAGTCGCTAGCAGTCGTTGGAAATCTAGATGTTCTTAGAATTATGTCAGTCGCTAGCAGTCGATGGAAATCTAGATGCTCTTAGATTATGCCAGTCGCTAGCAGTCGTTGGAAATCTATATGTTCTAAGAATTATGTCAGTAGCTACCAGTCAATGGAAATCTAGATGTTCTTAGATTATGCCAGTAGCAAGCAGTCGTTGGAGATCTATATGTTCTCAGAATTATGTCAGTCGCTCGCAATCGTTGGAAATCTAGATGCTCTTAGATTATGTCAGTCGCTAGCAATCGTTGGAAATCTAGATGTTCTTAGATTATGCCAATTGCTAGCAGTCGTTAGAAATCTATACGTTCTCAGAATTATGTCAGTCGCTAGCAAACGTTGGAAATCTAGATGCTCTTAGACTATGTCAGTAGCTACCAGTCGTTGGAAATCTAGATGCTCTTAGACTATGTCAGTAGCTACCAGTCAATGGAAATCTAGATGTTCTTAGATTATGCCAGTAGCAAGCAGTCGTTGGAAATTTATATGTTCTCAGAATTATGTCAGTCGCTAGCAATCGTTGGAAATCTAGATGTTCTTAGATTATGTCAGTAGCTACCAGTCGTTGGAAATCTAGATGCTCTTAGATTATGCCAGTCGCTAGCAGTCGTTGGAAATCTATATGTTCTAAGAATTATGTCAGTCGCTAGCAGTCGATGGAAATCTAGATGTTCTTAGATTATGTCAGTAGCAAGCAGTCAATGGAAATCTAGATGCTCTTAGACTATGTCAGTAGCAAGCAGTCAATGGAAATCTAGATGCTCTTAGACTATGCCAGTAGCAAGCAGTCAATAGAAATCTAGATGTTCTCAGACTATATGTCAGTAGCTACCAGTCAATGGAAATGTAGATGTTCTTAGACTATGTCAGTAGCAAGCAGTCAATGGAAATCTAGATGCTCTTAGACTATGCCAGTAGCAAGCAGTCAATAGAAATCTAGATGTTCTCAGACTATATGTCAGTAGCTACCAGTCAATGGAAATGTAGATGTTCTTAGATTATGTCAGTAGCTACCAGTCAATGAAAATCTAGATGCTCTTAGACTACGTCTGTAGCTACCAGTCAAAGGAAATCTCGATGTTCTTAGATTATGTCAGTAGCTACCAGTCGTTGGAAATCTAGATGTTCTTAGACTATGTCAGTAGCTACCAGTCAATGGAAATCTAGATGCTCTTAGATTATGTCAGTCGCTAGCAGTCGATGGAAATCTAGATGTTCTTAGATTATGTCAGTAGCTACTAGTCAAAGGAAATCTCGATGTTCTTAGATTATGCCAGTAGCAAGCAGTCGTTGGAAATTTATATGTTCTAAGAATTATGTCAGTCGCTAGCAATCGTTGGAAATCTAGATGTTCTTAGATTATGCCAGTCGCTAGCAGTCGTTGGAAATTTATATGTTCTCAGAATTATGTCAGTCGCTAGCAGTCGTTGGAAATCTAGATGTTCTTAGATTATGCCAGTCGCTAGCAGTCGTTGGAAATCTAGATGTTCTTAGATTATGTCAGTAACAAGCAGTCGTTGGAAATCTATATGTTCTCAGAATTATGTCAGTCGCTAGCAATCGTTGGAAATCTAGATGCTCTTAGACTATGTCCGTAGTTAGCAATCAATGGAAATCTAGATGTTTTTAGATTATGTCAGTCGCTAGCAGTCGTTGGAAATCTAGATGCTCTCAGATTATGCCAGTAGCTAGCAGCGTTGGAAATCTAGATGTTCCCCGACTAGGCTATGGTAGTCGCCAGCAGTCGTTTGG